GGAAGGAGCCGGCGGCGGACGCGGCCCCCGGGCCCAGCGCCGCGTTCCGCCTCATGGTGACCCGGCGCGAGCCGGCCGTGAGGCTGCAGTACGCGGTGAGCGGCCTGGAGCCGCTGGCCTGGTCGGAGGACCACCGCGTGTCGGTGTCCACCGCGCGCAGCATCGCCGTGCTGGAGCTCATCTGCGACGTGCACAACCCGGGCCAGGACCTGGTGATCCACCGCACCTCCGTGCCCGCCCCGCTCAGCAGCTGCCTGCTCAAGGTAGGTCCCGCGCGGGCGAGGCCGCGGCGCCGGCCCCCAGCCTTCCTCGCCCCGGCCGCGCTCGCTGCGCGGAGACTCCACCCCTGCTGCCCCAGCCGTCGCTCCTTTTGTGCGGGGCCTGCCTGCTCCCCAGGCCTCACCGAGCTGGCTTTGTGCGCTGTGCTGTCCCCTTCCCCCGCGTCGCGATTGCTTTGGAGAAGGAACGTTGCTCTGTGTTACGGCTTTACCTGTTCCAGCCGTTTCATTGTGAAAGACCCTCGCGCCTCACCTTGGGGTGCGAGGTAAATAGCGGCTCTTGGGTTTGTTTTTTAGGTTGGTTTCCCACGAGCTAAACGTCTTTGAGATGTAGAAGGAAAAAGGAAGCCGCTGGACACAAATATAACGCTTAACCCTCCAGGTCCAAGGTCTGTGAATTTAGGACCTTGCGCCTCATCTAACCTAAGTTTCCTAATCTCAGAACTTTAGGGTTTCTAAAGTTTCTCCGTTGCAGTACAATTTTCAAATTCAGTTTTTAGAAAGTGGTAAGATGGAACATCGTTCCTTTTAGTAGCTTAAAAGTAGAAAAACTTCCGCCTATCCTGGGTAGATGTTTATGCACATACAGTATGTGGTGGGTCGGAGTGTGGATTCATTCATCAGTGAATGCATAGGTGCTGGTCTTGGTTCTCTGAATAAACCGGTGGTACAGAAGAGCCTCTGACCTCATGGACTTACATTCTTTGATAAAGCGTGAACAAATAATCAGGCAGTGACAAGTGCTGTAAAGATGTGTGTCCACATACGGTTTTTTGCCCTCTTAACTCTGGACAGCTATTCTGAGTTGCCAGAGTGCTGAGAGCCCTCATCACTTTATCATATTCAAACACAATATGATGTTGAATTAAGTAATTGGGAAACTTGTATGACTAAGCCCCGTAAGATATTCTTTAATTACTTTGTGCTTTTTTTTTTTGGGTACTGAGAATAAACTCACGATCTTGTGCCTATTCCTGCCAGGCAGGCGTTGTGTCATTGAGCTATATTCCCAGCCCTCCCAAGATATTCTTGAAAAAGATATGAACTAATTGGTTCAAATACAAACAGATCACATAGACAGATACTGGCAATGCTGTGAATTGAGACATGCAAGGTGCAAGAGAGAAGAGGGTGTTTTAAAAGATGTATTGCCCTCCCCCAACAGAGCGGGTGTCTTCTGTTGAAAAGGAACTATTTCCATGGATGTTCATATGCACACCAGTGCAAAAATAATGATTTAACAGTAAGTTACAGCCGGGTATGGGGGTGCACAATTGCAATTCCAGCTCTTTGGAAGCTGAGGCAGGACGATCACTGAGTTTGAGACCAGCCTGGGCTATATCAGGAGTTCAAGACCAGTCTGAACTACATAGTGGCTTTGTGGAAACCAAAAGAAAAGAAAAAAAAAAAAAACAAAAGAAAAAAAAAGAGTAAGTTACAATTTTTCCTGTTATACTACTAATTTAGTACACGAGGGAACTGAACTGTATCCAGTTCCAAATTGATTGTGTAACCCTATTGGATTATACATTGTTATATCTTGAAGGAGACTTCCATAGTATCTCCATCTGCTACATTACATGGCTGTCATCTGTATTTGGAATCTCATTCCCTGCCCTCAGGGAGCTTACTGTCCACTTCAGATGAGCTTTCAGTTGCCAGATTTTTACTGAAAGCTTAACTCATAGTAGTATTAATAGTTAATTGGCAACACAATGATGCAGTTACATGATTGGTTTCAGGCAGGCCCCTGGAAACTGGACTTTTATGTGGTATGCTCCTCAGGCATCTGAGTTCTTGTTTTAATTTAACTAGTTTTGTGATAGAGTTAGAGAGGGGTGTAGCAGGGTGATTCAAGCATATTAACATGTTAGACATTACTACATAAAATCATCAGGCTTCCCTTCTGGTCACGATCTGTGCTATTTTCCATCATGTCACAAATTCTTCCTACAGTGAATGGGATGGAGAGTTGCTTGAGCTTCCATTTATTTTATCCTCTGCTACTGCTTTGGGTTACAAATTCTGTAAGTTTATGTTTGGTTCTACAGTAGCTTTTATTTGTAATAACTTTATCCTAGTCTAAAGATTATTGCCTATTTATAGTAGTATAGGATTTGGTGAACAATTTTTTATCTACCCTTCAATTGGAATACCATTTTGTATCTAGTCTGCATTTTACATACTTGTATTAGGTGTTACTAATAGTTGCTTAATCCTCAGAATATTAATACTCATCATCATAAATAATACTGAGCACGTTGCATATTCTAACTTACTTGACCTTCTTAATTCAGTGAGATATGTATTATCATTCTCTGACATAAATGAGGAAATTAAAAATTAAGGCCAGAAGGTGTAAGCAATTTGCACACAGTCATGGATCAAGTGTGTAACAGAGTCATTTGAACCCAGGTAAACTGGCTTTATAATACAGATTTTCAGTTATGATGCTTCATTATTTCTTGTTTCAAATTACATCTCCCCATACAGAGCTCACGACTTACTTTATTACCTCGCTAGCCACCTATACCTTATTTAGGTGGAATTTTCAGTCTGTGTGGCTCCAATAGGTCTATACTATAGCCATGAGACTACCTTAAATGCCTTTCAGAGATAAAATAGGCTGTCTAAAACACCATTTCCAGAATATTCTTTAAGATCATAAAGGGAAACAATTTCCCAAAAAGTTACACTTGAAAGTTTTATGGCCAACTTTGATTTTAAAAGTCCCTACAGAATTCCCCAGCCAAGGTATTTTGTGTGCTTCTATGACTTTCCTGGGAAGAATGAAGTGTAATGTCATTTCCTAAACTTATTTAAAGTATTAATTTAGGGGAGTAGTGTTTTGTGAGTTACTTTAGGAAAAGTTAGCTGACTCATTAACTTGGTGAGCAACTTTATATCCACCTTTCATTGTACTTGCCCATTATGATAGCAGACGGTTTTAGTAGAAAAGATTAGTCCAGTTATCATCCGCTAGTTTCTCATGATCGCTGGTATCTCACACACTGTTCGTTTGCTACTATGTTGAGGAATTTTATTGCTATTTAGGCTTAAGAATCTGTGTCTATTTACTATTTGGAGGATTTTTTTCTGTTTTTGCAGTACTAGGGATTGAACCCAGGGCCTTTGCGTGGAGCTACATCCCTAGGCCTTTTTTTTTTTTTTTTTGACAAGGCCTGACTAAGTTGATAAAGTATTTGTTCCACTCTGGCTTTCTGACTTATCTCAAGTCGCCTAAGCTTTCTTTAGATGTAGTTAGTGGTTCTGAGTTAACATTTTTCCAGGTTCTTTCTGTGTCCTGGAAAGTAATGTGCTTGAGAATTTAAACTCATTTAAAATGACTTTTTTGTTATATCCATGTATGAGTGTGTCTTATGCTTGAATTCCCTTTTAATTATACTGTACCGGGGCTGGGGATTTAGCTCAGCGGCAAAAGCGCCTGCCTGGCAAGCGCAAGGTCGTGAGTTCGGTTCCCAGTACCAGAGAAAAAAACCAAAAAAAAAAAAAAAATTATACTGTACCTTTCCAGTTTGAAAATCAGCTCCTATTAAAAAGGAGATTGACACTAAAAATAAATTGGAAGATTTTGCTTTTTTTTTTCTTCCTTTTTTTTTTCTTTTTTTAAAACTATTTCTTTAATGACAGTGGATCAAGTAGGGTCAAGTCCTTGCTTTACCACATAACAGAAACCATCTTTTGGTTGACCTCTGTCCTTTCTTTACTTTAACTTTCCCAGCTATTTTTTGTGGCTGTGGGTCACTGGCTTTTTAAAGTCATTTATGTCTCCTTCCCCTTTCATATCCCTTTAAAATCTCTCTAAAGGACTCACTCGCACACGGCGAGGCGCCAGTGATATGTGATGGACCTGGAGGAGGGAGATGAATGAAAGCTGGAATGACTGCTGAGGGCCTCATAGAGAGGGTTAGACCGCTAGGGTGGATGGGATTTAGACAGGCAAAGGAACCAGGAGAAGCAGGGGTGGGAATGTTCCGGGACCGAAAAGAGGGCCATCTCATTGGCACTGTCTTGCTCTGTTGCACAGTGTCCAATCTTTTGGCTTGCCACACTGAATAAAGAATTGTTTTGGACTGCATAGATCATTTTATGAAGTTATACAACCATACAAGTTTAATAATTACATAAGAGGGGCTGGGGATTTAGCTCAGCGGCACAGCGCCTGCCTGGCAAGCACAAGGTCGTGAGTTCGATTCCCGGTACCTGAAAGAAAAAAAAAAAAAAAAGAGAAAGGAATAATTACATAAGAAAATGTGCAAGTCTGTGTGGTCTTCATAGGCACATGTGTATGTAGGTTGAAATACCATTATTAGTAATCACTGTTTTACTCACAGGGTTGCTTAAGCACATGTAACATCCCTACATGTAACATCTGCACTATTCCACTGGCTGTGTGGCGGGCACAGGAAGCAGTTAGCACTGTACTGCCCCTTCCCTTACACAGCATTCCATTTTCACCTGTGAAGTCCACGCATGAACACTGTGCAGTTGACTCGTGAAAAATACCACCCCTCCAAAAAAAAAATCACATAGTAAAGTTAAAGGTGTACAATCCCCGCTGTCCAGGGCTACATGTGGCCTGCAGGCTATGCATTGGACATGGCTGCCCAAAAGCATCAGTAGGCAAAACAGTTTATGCTGGATCTCACTGTCATTTTTAATGAGATTGCAGAATGAAAAACCTAAAGCTGACGTTTGTAGTGCAGAGGTGTTATAAAAATCTCATTGAATCAAAGATGAATATAGGTACATATTTTCCTAAGTTTTTTACACCTTTACACTCTTGTGACTTAAGAATCAGCTACATCTCAGTTGTATATGTCAGAAAAATGTGGGAACCAAGATGTGGTTACTGACATTTATTCTAATCATTTAAACAAAACTGCTGTTTTCTTGTGTAAATACTCGCTTAGTCTTTAGACATGTACTCCATATTTTAAATGCATGCCATGATAAAAATTAACGAATTGATATAAAATTATTATATGTGCATTAGTTAATACAGATGGATATTTATCTTACCCTTTTTGTATCTCTCATTTCCAGGTTGGCTCAAAAACAGAAGTTGCAGAGTGCAAGGAGAAATTTGCCGCCTCTAAAGACCCTACCGTCAGCCAGACTTTCATGCTGGACAGGATGTTCAACCCTGAGGGGAAGGCTCTGCCCTCAATGCGAGGGTTCAAGTACACTAGCTGGTCTCCCATGGGCTGTGATGCGAATGGCAGATGCCTCCTGGCTGCTCTGACCATGGACAATCGCCTGACTGTCCAGGTGAACCTTAACAGACTCCAGTGGGTGCAGCTGGTGGATCTGACTGAGATTTATGGAGAGCGTCTTTATGAAACTAGTTACAGGCTCTCTAAAAATGAGGCCCCGGGGGGGAACCTTGGGGATTTTGCTGAGTTTCAGAGGAGACACAGCATGCAGACGCCGGTCAGGATGGAGTGGTCGGGCATCTGTACCACTCAGCAGGTCAAGCACAACAATGAGTGCCGGGATGTGGGCAGTGTGCTCCTGGCTGTCCTCTTTGAAAATGGCAATATCGCTGTGTGGCAGTTTCAGCTGCCATTTGTAGGAAAGGAGTCCATCTCTTCGTGCAACACGATTGAGTCAGGAATCAGCTCACCTAGTGTTTTGTTTTGGTGGGAATATGAGCACAACAATCGGAAAATGAGTGGCCTTATTGTAGGGAGTGCTTTTGGACCCGTAAAGATTCTCCCCGTCAACCTCAAGGCAGTCAAAGGCTACTTCACGCTAAGGCAGCCCGTTGTCTTGTGGAAAGAAATGGACCAGTTGCCTGTGCACAGCATCAAATGTGTGCCACTTTATCACCCTTACCAGAAGTGCAGCTGCAGCTTAGTGGTGGCTGCCAGGGGCTCGTATGTGTTCTGGTGTCTTCTGCTAATCTCCAAGGCAGGCCTGAATGTCCACAATTCCCACGTCACAGGCCTTCACTCGCTGCCCATTGTCTCCATGACTGCAGACAAACAGAATGGGACAGTGTATACTTGTTCCAGTGACGGGAAGGTGAGGCAGCTGATTCCCATTTTCACAGATGTGGCGTTAAAGTTCGAACACCAGCTGATTAAGCTCTCAGATGTGTTTGGCTCGGTGAGGACTCACGGGATCGCAGTGAGCCCCTGTGGAGCCTATCTGGCCATCATTACCACTGAGGGAATGGTCAACGGCCTCCATCCCGTTAACAAAAACTACCAGGTCCAGTTTGTCACTCTCAAAACCTTTGAAGAAGCAGCTGCTCAGCTTCTGGAATCTTCCGTTCAAAATCTCTTTAAGCAGGTAGATTTAATAGACCTAGTACGCTGGAAGATTTTAAAAGATAAACACATTCCTCAATTTTTACACGAGGCTTTGGAAAAGAAGATTGAGAGCAGTGGGGTCACCTATTTTTGGCGCTTTAAGCTTTTCCTCCTGAGGATTTTGTACCAGTCAATGCAAAAAACCCCGTCAGAAGCCTTGTGGAAACCCACCCATGAGGACTCGAAAATCCTGCTGGTTGACTCTCCTGGGACGGGCAATGCCGAGGAGGAACAGCAGGAAGAAGGTACTTCCTCCAAGCAGGTGAGCAAGCAAGAGAGGAGCAAGGAAGGTGATGCGGAGGAGCCAGCGGATGACTCGCTGCCCCCCTCAGGAGATTCAGGGAGTCGGGAGCCCATGGAGGAAAAACTCCTGGAGATCCAAGGAAAGATCGAGGCTGTGGAGATGCACCTGACGAGGGAGCACATGAAGCGCGTCCTCGGTGAAGTGTACCTGCACACCTGGATCACGGAGAACACCAGCATCCCCACCCGCGGGCTCTGCAACTTCCTGATGTCTGATGACGAGTACGACGACAGAACAGCGCGGGTAGGTGCTCAGTAACAGCCACCGCGACTGAAAAGTCTGCTTTCAGCTTTTGAGTTGGCTTTTTGAGAGGAGTGGGCGGGGTCTCACTATGTAGTGCAGGCTGACCTTGAACTCGCTTATGTAGTCCAGGCCTCAAACTCATGGTGATCCTCCTGCCTCGCCTCCCAAATGCTGAGATTGGGGCTGGGGATTTAGCTCAGCGGCAAAGCGCCTGCCTGGCAAGCGCAAGGTCGTGAGTTTGGTTCTCGGTACTGGAGAAAAAAATCAAAAAAAAAAAGAAAACCAAATGCTGAGATTACAGGTGTGTGCCGCTTTGAGTTGGCATTTTTAAAGTAATTGATAGGCATGAGTTGCAGGGGAATAAATAGGAAATATGGATTAAATGCAGAAGATGCATTGGTAGTACAAAGAATGTTCTGACATATCCTCTCATGTGGGGCTTTGACTGATAAGCAAGGTTTGCCAGATGAGATTTCCAGGCTGTAGATGAGCTCGAGGAGGCTGCATTCCTTTAGCAGAATAGCTTGAGGTAGGCACTGCAGTAGAAATACCACACTTTACACATATTCCCTATTTTATTTTATAGAAGTTTCATGTTGGGGCAGGGAGGGGAGTAGTTTTCTATTTGAAAAGGTTTGAGGAGGTCTGGTTTTGGTCAAGAAGAGTTTATAAGCAGAGTATGGTGCACTACTATAATCAAGAAGAGTTTATAAGCAGAGTATGGTGCACTACTATAATCCCCACACCCTGGGAGGCTGAGGCAGGAGAATCACAAGTTCAGGCCCAGCCTGGGCAACCTAGCAATTTAACAAGACTGCTTCAAAAAAAAAAAAAAAAAAAAAAAGTGAGAGATGTAACTTAGTGTGAAGGCCCTGGGTTCAATCCCCAGCACTGAAAGAAAATTTTTTTATTTTGAAAGAACAACTTAAAAAGGAGACATTATTATTCATGTCAGCTTTTTACAAAAACTGGGCATTGTCTTTATTTTTTGTAGTGGAACAGCCTTACAGTGTTGCCTACAATGTATCCATGGAATTCAAGGTCCCTGAGAGACTGGTAGAGTACCAAGCCTGGGGAATATGCGTACCCCACTGCTCCGCAAAGTTCCCAGTGTGCATTCTCATTGGAGGGCTCTGAGATTTGCTGCAGAGAAGAAACTGTTACCTTTGTCATCCAGACTTCTTGATCAGGGAAATGTTCTGCAAGCTTAAGTTGCCAAGATCCTGAAGAACTCCTGAAATATTCAAAACTACAAAAGGCCTCCCTTTTACTCTGAGGATTGATACTTACTGCCTAATGTCTTACTTAGAATATTAATTGAAAATAGTAAATTCATATATCTTCCTTCCCAGTGTGTGCATTTCTTGTTGGAAAGGTGTTTGTACACCACTAAAATTGTTGCTTGAGATGTTTGTAGTTGGGTTTTTATTGTTCCTTCTTTTTTGAGAGCTCTGTGGTCCAGGCTGGCCTTGAATTTGGGATCCCCTTCCTCACCCTTCAGAGGGCCGAGATTACAGCAGTGCGTCAGCATGCCTGGTTTAAAAGTCACCTTTGAAAGATGGTGTCCTTGTAGTCTCAGTTCTTTGGAGGAGCACAGTGTTGTGGTTTTCTTAGGATTATTATGAATCTGTGAGATAGTAACAAAAACACTGTAGAAAGTCAGTGACAGACTTTGTTCTTACTGGTTTTGAATTCTAGTCTGGATGCTGCATGAGTCTGAAAACGGTGTTTAACGTGGCTGTGTGACTCAGCAGGGCCAGTTTAGAAAATACAAAGATTGTATCCTGCCCCTTTGAGCTACGGAGTTCTGATTGAAGACAATGCATTTTATGTCCAAAACTCTTAACTGTATGAATGTGGTGACCTTTTTTAAGCTGGGATGGTGACTTACTAGGACAGCAGTTATAAATGATATCTGAGGCTCTCTGCGTGGCATGCTAGTATAGTTGCACTTCTCTACCCTTTCTCTTTTTTATTTTACCTAAAATAAAATTTGGAGACAGTATTTTCTCCTAACTGCTCCTACCCATGAGATGTTAATACCACACTTACATTGTGGTATTAACACAATATAGCGTGTGTTTGCTTATGTACTTTATATGTGTGTGTGTATATACTTCATATGTTTAAAAATTAAGAACTTTCCATTCCCCAAGAGGGACTGGCACCCCCATTAGGAATGCGTGAGTCAAACTGCACAGCTGAACTGCTTAGTCAAGGTTATCTGGAGCAAATAGAAGCAGCCCTTCCTTATGTGAAACAGGTGCATTTCTTACAGAGGAGTTCTGAGCTGGTGTTGTCCCAGTACCACCGTGAGGATGTTGGGCATCTCTGGAAAAGATGAGATAGGATGGTCATCCTTGTGAGGGGCCATATATAGGAATTTTCTCTTTGGCTTGGTTTTTTGTGGTGCTAGGGATCAAACCCAGGGCCTTGGGGATACTGGGCAAGTACTCTCCCACTGAGCTACACCCTGGCCCTAATTCCAAAGGCTAAAAATCCAAAAAGGTGAAAAGTTAATGGAGTTTATATTTGTAAAGTACATACATACAGGGTAAGTAAGATGGATGGCTCCCCAACTTCTGAGCCACTACAAAACCCTTTAAAGCTAAGTGAACTAATTTTAATGAGTTAATCCAAAATCTTGTAGAATCGTCCTTAAGAGGTTAAGCATAAGTGGATTCAGAACTTGGAAGGACACTGTCCACTAGTAAGAGAAGATGACCTTCCAGGCCTCATAGTGACAGAGTCAATGGGTGTCTGTTTTTTTTCAGCAAAATAATGAAATAGGTGTTTTTCAGACTTTGATTTTTAAGGAGTATGTTATTCAGAAACAAAGCAGAGAAAAGCACAGCCAAAGCAGGAACAGAGCCTGGAGCCTTGCGCCATCGCCTTTCTTAGTGCCCACCTTGCCCTCCCGGGTGGGTTGTGCCGTGCCTTTGCAGTGGGGTCCACAGCCCTGGTCCAGGCTGCGGGGCGGTGTCATCGTCATAGATCTGTGAGACACCAGAGGGGGAAGTTGTTTTTTCAGACCTGGTTATTTACTTAATTTCTTAAAAACTGGTTGTTGGATAGTGCCACAGAGTTTGCAGTATTCCAGTAATATTTTGCTTCTAATGATTATGAATTTCCTTCTTAACGACAAAACATTAAAAGTAATAAATGCTTGCTTCTCACAGAACTGTGTTCTCAAGCAACTAAAACAAGGTGTGCAATAAAAGTTTGAGTTTTCAGAACAAGTTTTCTCTTAGTAGTTCAAGTTCACCCTCCTGCCACCAGTCCCCGAATGCATCTGCACCACTCAGCTCATCCATACAGGTTGTGGGCTTGCTCCATCCAACAGCAGGCTGGCCCATGTGGAGACAGGTGCATGTCTCCTGTCCCTGTCCAGCCCTGCTTGGTTTCTGTCTTGTCCTTGTGGTAGGCTTTGCTTCAGGGAACGCTGCACATCCTCACCTTGCTGACTGCTGTGTCTCACCAGGTGCTGATCGGACATATCTCCAAGAAGATGAACAAGCAGACTTTCCCTGAGCACTGTAGCTTGTGTAAGGAGATCTTGCCGTTCACAGATCGCAAACAGGCCGTCTGCTCCAATGGGCACATTTGGCTCCGGTAAGCCATCCTAAGGCTCCTTGCTCACGTTTCAGCTTCGGGTAGCGCACTCGCTGAAGAGTGTGTGTCTCGGGGATGTGTCACCCATGCTGTACCCTAGAGAAAATCTGCTGCCCTGAAGCCTTGTGGCTTCTCTTCATCAGTCTGGCTGGAGCAGGACAACCGTTCAGGACAGAGTTAAGGCTCTTGTGCCGGGGTTGCTGTGTTTACTTTGGTTACATTGTTTTCCTTTGAAGCAATACATTTTTAGATTATTACAAAATCATATCTGTTGAAGTTAGGAAGCTTGCATGTATACGTACCCATTTTCTTATATGTTCAATTTCATAATAAAAGGCTTAGTCCTCTTCCCCTTATCTCCTTCGTCTCGCCTTAGAGGTAACCCTGGTGTGTCCTCACTTTACCAGACCTGTGAGAGGTTCCTCCCTGAGGAACTTTATCACTTGCTTCCCAGGCCATGGTACTTCTGGTTTGCTCCTGCCTGGACACCATTCCCTGCTGCTCCTGCATCTTACCCTGGCGGCCTGCTTTGGACTGTGTCAGCATTCTCCCCTGGTGGTCACGTGGTATCTGCAGTCAGGAACCTGTGTCTGCCCGTAGTGCAGATCTGCATGGCTAGCCACTTGTTGCTGTCTCTGGCTGTTCTCAGGCCTTCCGCATGGAATCCAGCCCTTTCCCCTACTTGCAGCTCTTCGGCCTCTCACCCTGATGACCATAGCTGTCTTACTCTGCTGCCTCCTCCATTCCTGCCCCTCCACTTCATTCTCAGTGTGCTCATGATTGTGACCCTATCCAGACTTCGTTAGCTCCTGTACCTTCTGCTCAGAACTCTCCAGTGGCTCCCCACTTCCGATGAGTAAAAGCTAAAGTCTTCTCCATGGCCTACACGACCGTATACAGCTTGGGTCCCCTCTTCTCCTTGCCCTCACTCGGAGCTCCTCCGTGGTTGTCCTCCTTGCTTGTGTGTTCCAGGCCTTGTTTCTCAGTACTGAGGTGCCCTCCCGCTGCAGGACGCCCATGCTGGCCAGTTGTCCCTAGGTGCTCTTCCAGCAGGTAGCCCTGTGGCTTCCTCTGATGCCACTTTCTCCTGTACCCTTCCTGGCCGCAGTACCTATGTTGTAACACCCTGCAGGTATCTCCCCCTTCCCAACACTCTGCATCCCTCTGCCTTGCTTTATTTTCTCCTTAACATTGGTTAGTACATTTTTTGCCTTTTCTTTTTCTCTGTCCTCTGGAATAGGACTTACATGAGGATAGGGACTTTTGGGTATTGTTCACAGCTACTTCTAGAACAATGTGTAGGGCATGGTAGGTACTCTGTACAATTTTTAAATTTACTTTCAACTGAAACGTGACTGTGCTGCATGTACCATCTTAATAACCAGCCAGGTCTCTTTTTATCAAAATACCATGGATATTTTTGAACATTAGTGCAAAGATCCCATTCTTACTGACTGTAGAGTTTTCCACCATGTGGATGCTGCGTGACTTATTTCCTTATTGGTGGGTGTTTAGGTTTTTTTCTAATTTGACTGTTTAACCTTGTTTTAAGAAGGAAGAATAGGAAACAAGATTAGATTTCAGGTTTTTAGTAACATTTGTTGAGCGCTATCAGCATGCCGAGTACAGGCTCAGCAGTATACACACACGTGGTAAGTTGCTGTGTCCTTATAGTAACTGCACACGGAAGGCACTGATGACTTCAGCTTTACAGATGAAGAACTGGAAGCTGAGGTATTAAAAGAGTTTTCCCAGGGCTAGGGATGTAGCTCAGCAGTAGAGTATTTGCCTAATATGCGTGAGGTCCTGGGTTCAGACCCCAGCATGGTAAAAAAGGCATTTGCCCAAAGTCACCCCAGTGGTTTGTGACAGAGCTCAGAGACTGGCATTGTGGCTACAGCGTCCATGTGTGTAACCACTGCACGTTCACGCCTCCCTGATGGCTTCTTCCACAAAATCTTACCTCTATTTTGCTGGCTAAAATTAGTGCCAAAAATACCTTGATGATTTCTCTGAGAATGGGTGCTCACTATCTCCCCAAGGGGACCCTGTGGCCCCAAGTCTTTGCTCAAAGGGAAGCTGCTTCAAGCTCCTTCCCCTCACCTCGCCCTTCTAGTGTTTTCCACCCCTTTGCTCCTCAGTTGAAAACTGCTGCTGAGGAAATCTTCTGGCCGGCCCCATGTCACTGCGTCCCACGTGCCTCACCTGCCTGGTCCCAGTGGTGGGTGCGTGGTTACCTTGGACAAATTGAACCTGCGGATATTTACTACTTTCGCTTCTCTTTTTGCACCATTAATTTCATCTTCAGTAACCTTTAGGATTACTTATAAGAACTGTCATGCCAGACAGTATAAGGAGACTGGTGACCTGGTTGGTAAAGAATTCACCAGTAGACAAGGACATATTTAGATCACCGAGCACACTGTCAAAAGGATGAGTTCCCAAGAGGATCGTGCAGTCAGGGTGGGAGGGTGTGGTTTTGTAAGGGAATGAAGAGGTGGGGAGGGGTCCGAGTTGGCAGATGGAGATACCTTAGAACCTCATTTTCCAGGGTGTCCTGCTCCTTGTTAATTTTTTGGGAACACCTGTATTGTAATTAAAGTTGTACATCAAAGTTGCTAATTCTCAAGGCCCCTTGATTAGGCCTCGAAAAAGGCTCGTCAGACTTAGATAAGAGTATCTGTATGCTTTAACCTGTTTGGGAAAAATGTTACCTCTCAGAGGAAGAAAGGATGGCTTTTGTATTGACTTTCATCTTGTGCTATTTTTAGTCCTCGTTAGTACAGTGCATTTTGACTGTCTAGTACATGCTGGGCTGTAGTGCGTTTTCAAAGAAGTTTAGGGACTGAGAATTTTAACCTTCTTGTCAGTATCAGAATGATTTCCAGTATAGTACATGATGCGGGCTGAGGGTGTAGCTCAGTGGGAGCACGGTCGCCCACCATGCAGTAGGCCTTGGATTCAGTCCCCAGCACTGCCCCCACCCAAAGAAAGTCAATATAACATAGGATCGGGTTTTTTAAAATATATATTAAGAACTCAAAATGGGCAGTAGGGACAGACTGAATTCTTTCCCCTTGCTACCATCACAAAGAAGCTGCAGTGACTTTAGAAGCTTTGCATCTTTTTGCTTAGTCACATGACATAGCCACTCCCCTCTACTAGGTGTGTGGCAGAGTGGGTTTGTCTGGCATGGAAGGTCGGTGGGAGTTGCTGCTGCGGGGTGAATCACTGTCCACAGTGGAGCTACTCTCAGCGCCTGCTGCTTTCCTGTGTCGGCAGAGCTCCAACAAGCCCTCTCCCTTGACAGCACAATCTGTCTTCTTTCAGGTGCTTTCTAACCTACCAGTCCTGTCAGAGCTTGATATACAGAAGGTGTTTGCTTCACGACAGCATTGCCCGGCACCCGGCTCCGGAAGGTGAGCACTTCCAGGCTGTGGCCAGGACCGGTCCACACTGCTGAGCATCCCGCTGTGGGGTGGAGCAGGCTTCTGTCCCTCTGCACAGTGCCGTCGTGAAGGCAGAACTAGTTAAAGCGGTCACTGGACTGTGTCGTGTTGAACTGCATATCTATAGTGGTGCGTGAGGGAAGGGGCCTGCTTTGCCCGCCTGCCACTGCAGACAGAGTATTCCTCCTAGGCAGTGTCAGGACTTGCTGCAGGCGGCTATGTATCTCCCAGACAGCCTTGCACAGGGCGTCATGTACAAAGGCAGCAGTGCTCCAGCCATGTGACGTGCCCTTGGGCCACTCTTCTGGTAGCGGTGATGGCCTGCCTCTTGCTTGATCTGTGTCCTCTCTGCTGATGACCCTGCTGACGAAGTGCACGTATCTGTTTCTGAGAGGACTGGGTGGAAATAAGATCATTCGGGTGGGCAAGGGTTAGAGTCGAATAGCTGCAAGAATATCAGTTTCTGACCTGAGTTTCATTAACCTCACACACACTGACCAGATAAGCTAACTGGACACAAGCATATAGGGTTATTCCTGTTTGGGGAGCACTCATGGTCTCCAGGAGCAGAAACCAAGCATAAAGTTTTGCACGTAAAGCTGAATCCTTAGTCTTCACTTTTGCTCTAAACTGGCCGAAGCTCTAACTCTCAGAAGTTGGTTTGTTACCAACTCTTCATTGAAACTGCAGTCATACAAAGAGCTACACAGAAGAATGTAATGAACCTGTTTCCCCGTCACTCAGCTTTGGAGATGTGCTGCTCACAGCCTTTGCTGCTGTCTCACCAACCCTTCCTCTTGGCCATTTACCTTATTTTTAATTCCCTTTCTGGGGATTGAACCCAGGACCTTCACACTGAACTACATCCCCAGCCCCATCTACCCACCTATCTGTCTGTCTGTCTGCTACTTACGTTTTGAGATCGGGTCTAAGTTTCGAAGTTGCTCAGGCCGGGCTCAAACTTGTCATTCACCTACCTCAGCCTCCCAGAGGGCTAGGATTATAGGTATCCACCACCACACCCAGTTTTGTGGACTAACTTCAAAACACATTTTTGAGAACTTTTAAATTAGGCACTGTCAGAATTGATGTAGTATTTAGGCAGGAAATCTGGAGAAGATTGAAATTTAAAACCAAGCCATCTGTTTTGAATTGAGCCACTTACAGCTTTGGGGGAGAATGAAGAACTCTTGGATCCAGGGGGAGTATTGGGGTCAAGCAGAGCATTTCACAGACAGGGAGGGGGTGCAGACGGGGGGCAGGGGTGGCTCACCATTGGCACATTGCTAAGACTCCGCATAAAGACATTGCTGTTGCTGCCATTTTTAGAGAGGACTGTCTTGGGATAAGTGTAGTCTGTCCTTTAACTGGCACGGAGTGAGCTTTGTGGTGTGTTCCTTACCCTTATTCCCACACTGCTCACATGCGTAGCTTTGGAACCCACGGATGTTCCAGCCTTGTTTCACGTGTTGGACCCTGCAGCCCAGAGGGCAGAAGAGCTCTGCCCAGAGACCCAGAGCTGAGCCGGGACGGCCTCCTGAGGCTCCAGGGCCGTGCACAGCCTGTCTGCCGGCCCTCTCAGAGGCTGCTGCTGGATGCCACTTGTCTTTCTTTGCAGATCCTGACTGGATTAAGAGGCTGCTGCAAAGCCCGTGCCCGTTTTGTGACTCTCCTGTCTTCTGAGTGGCTGTGGTGGAGGAGGGAAGGGCGTGAGCTCCCTGGAGAATGCCCTGCAGCCTGAAGAGTGGGTGCGAGAGGAAGCCTGGCCCTCGCCGGAAGAGATGCTCTCGTGACTGTGAGGAGGGCCTCCCGGGAGCTCAGTGTTCAAGTGCCCATGCCATCGCCAGGGACTAAAGGATATCTTTTTATATGACCGGATGCAGAGGGTTTGAGTCGTTTTGAGATGAACCTTAGTCCCCAGCCCCTTACCCAATGAAGAACGCTTATTTTTCAAGTGTCTTGATGGAAACAGTTTGAACAAAAGGAATGTCCTGTCATTTCTAGGAACATAATGGTCTCTTCTCGGGAGTTTGTGTACGGACCTTCTGGATCAAGTGAGGCTTCAATCCTTGCTTTGGTCTGGGCCTGCCTTGTGCTCCAGAGAGCTGAATTGCCCGACACGTGGTGTTGCTTGTACCAGCAGATGCTCGTTCATCTAAAACCATGTGTGGCTGGTGTTTTGCTCTCAGTGAATAGCTACAGATCTGTACCCCATTGACTCTTTATTTTTCATGCATATAGAAAATGTTTTCCTAAAACTATATTTTTAAGATGTTGAAGCCAAGACTAAAGTCAGTTTTAATGTATCAGATAGTCAGGTGACTATGAGAAGTTAATGACTGTGACTTATTTTTCTCTTCTGTGTCATCAGGTTTCCTGATCCAGCTCCTAAATGTGTATAAAGATGTCCAGTGCTCCATTTCACCCCATCATGGCCCTGCTTCAGACTTAATTGTGGTAACCTAGATAATTTGTGTAAAGAAGAAAAAATGTTTTCCTTTTAGTATGAAATTGAAACTTGAGTATTTTTAATGTCAGCATTCTCAGGTGTCACACTGAGCGTCTCGGCCAGGGACTTTGGAGAGAGGCAGGGAGCTAGGAAGTAGAGCCCCTGAGCCTGGTGTACCAGCACCTGCGGTGCGGTTGAGCAGAGCCTAGTGATTTGTCTCAGCAGGGACTTTGGTATTTGGAATACATGTCTTTCCCTGCGGGCTATGAAGAGGAGACATCAGACATCAATTTTTGATTAGTCCCTCTTAAATCCTAAAATAAGACATTCTGGAATTACAGTGACTCTGGATTTTAAAAGTATGTGTCCAAGGGATTGGTGCTAACTAACTGAACTGTAATGTACACCTTTTGAAATGTTGTATATTTCTGGAAAGTTGGATGGAAAATACAAAAACTGAAATGTTATACTCTTTTCTTTTTTAAGACAGGGTCTGGCTCTGTAATTCAGGCTGGCCTCAAACTCACAGCAGTCCTCCTGTCTCAGCCTCCTGAGTGCTGGGATTACAGGTGTGTGCCACCACACCTGCCTCATACTCATATTTCATGCTATCTTTTTGCCTTTATTCTGACATGATTTCTTCCTTTTTTATTTCGTATTCTTTTTTTGTTTGTATATTTTCCGGTACCGGGAATCGAACTCACCACCTCGCACTTGACAGGCAGGTTCTGTGCTGCTGAGCTAAATCCCCAGCCCCTTATTTCATATTCGTAGTGAAAGACACTTGGTCCTCATTTCAAAACAATATCTTGCGATTTGGAGACCACTGTAAGAGAGGCACGCACCGCAGGTCACAGTCTACACCATGCCACGCTCCCCCACTGCTTCTGTGTACTTGAGATGAGCCCCCAAAGCCACTTCCAGACACTGATCTGCAATGTCTTGTTCTGTTCAAATTATTTTATCTCCTGTCTATATATCTGCTGGTGTCGTTTGCTTGTTTTCCTCATTTTGGGGGTAATTTCAAGGAAGTATTTCTCTGGACTTCAGGGGCCAGCATGGTAAGTTGGTTTTCAGGAAATGGAACCAGGCAGCAGTGAAGTCATAAGTGACACAGCTGAGCACATTGCGTAGCTGAAGTCACGGTGCCTGCAGCGTTTTGCACGGTTCCACGAATGACCGCAGAGATTGGAATCAGGTCAAGGAACTGTTGCATCTTTACTAATCATGGCATGCTTAATTTCACTTCTTTGTTCCAAATCAGAATCTGCAGGAGCTTGTTCTTACCGCTGTTTAAAACTTACGTTACGTTTTCATTTAAAGCAGTTGTGCATTTTTGATAAAATTGAACTGTGAGCGAGTAACCAAAAAGGATGTCTGCGCTTACGTGTGTCTGTGAGAGTACACACAGGGCCGCTGTGGTGCTGGGACGCGGGCTTCTCGGGGGCGGGGCTTGGCCTGGTGGCGTTCTCAGCGCTCGGAAATGCAGCCGCGGTGTCTGCCACCCTGTGCCCGCCCAGGAGGCGGGTCCTTAGAGCTGGGCCAGTGGGAGGAAGCATTTGGGCCTTGGCAGCCTCACACACAGTGTGCTTCAGACTTGCTCCGAGGGTCAGTGCGCCCGCCCTTAGTGTAGATCAGTGCAACCTTGGGGAAGTGCCAGTGATGCTGGAACTTTCTAATCGCCTTTTCCACTTGAAACTTAGCACACCCTCAGCTTCCCAAGTTTTACCTGTCTGGTGGATTTCAAGTTGATTTCATCTGTAATAACTGTTTCAGGAATGGGAGAAATAGTAGAAGCGACGTGGCTGCCTTGCATTTAAAGTGTGGGAACAGAGACTGTATACAGTCAGACCTTTCAGGCTACGACTCTGTTGCCTTTCAAAAGTCTGATTTCCATATGTGTATCACATCTTCTCTGCCTGCGGTTAATTTGTTCCCATTATTCTAGATAAGGAATTGATAGCTTGTTATGCTTGATATTCATGCTGAAATCCTCATGTGTCCACCACCCAGACTTCAAGTAATCTCTGCCTACTATTATATCTGCCAAAACCACCAATTATTTTTCAGTGTCAGGAGTTATTAGGACCACTGGCAAAGCTCGGGGTTGAATGTGACGTTTTTCTGTTTCTGCCTCTTAAGAAGGTTTGAGAATATTTATATTGCAGTATGTATGTCGGACCGATAGGCAAGTTTTAATGGGGTTAAAGAATGTTAGAAGATCATAGATTAAGTATGAAAATATATCTGGTTTTAATTACAGTGGTAGCAAATAAGCAAAAGGGAGCAGTGTTTATTGGGGCTCTTTTTTCTTTGTCTTTTTGAGACAGGATCTTGATATGCAGTTCAGGCTGGCCTTGAGCTCACTTTGTAGCCCAGGCTGGTCTCGAACATGCAACGATCCTCCTGCCTCAGCCTCCCGAGTGCCAGATTGCAGGTGTGCGACACCATACCCGGCTTTGGTGTTCGTTAAGAGGAGCACAGTGGTGGTGTGAGCGCCTGGCAGCCACAGAGCTGCTCGCAGCTGCATGCGTTGCTGTGAGTGGACTCGGAGTCCTGTCAGTAGGAGAAGCTGTTGACTAATACCATCGCCTTCTCCAGGTGATGGTGTTAGTTGTTAGCAGGCTGTGAGTTGTTTCTGGCTTCCTTTCCACAATACTTGCCCTGACAGAGTGTGTATGCAGTAACTCTGGGTTGGACATCGCAGGCTAATGGGCGGGTGCTGGATTTTAGCTTGGTACCACCCATCAGCCTGCGCCAAGCGGTGTTGTTCTTCCCAAACAAAGTTGTGGTTAAAGCTCGGGCTGATACCCAGCGTTCGCACAGGCAGCAGCTAGCCAGGCAGAGCAGCAAACCTCTAATAACGAAGGTGTCACAGACTGTCTTGACTCTCCACGACCCACTGCCCTGGCTGTGTTGGGATCTAGCAATCCGAGGAGACCAGGGCCGCTCAGGAACCTATCCAGGTTGGCAGATGTGGACCACGCCTCTAAAGAATCTAGCTGAAGCAGACTGTTTCTATTTTAGTTATTGATGAAAGCGTCAGTGACACCCTTGAGCAGGTTGTCCATGTCTCCAGGCTCTCATGGTGATTAGGCTGAACTGTTCTTGCTTGAAGCCAAGAGATTTCTGAAGCTAATATCTGCCTTACCGCGCTGACATGGTGTCTGAATGCAGAGCATGTGAAATTTATCCGTAGACAGAAGGGAGCAGGCTGCTCTCAGAATGCAGTGTCATGTCTCTCTCCAGTCCTGTAGCACCTCCACCCACCAAAGCACTGAGCTCGCTCCGCGGCACAGGTGGAAATCCTTACAAGGTGCAGCCTCCTGCCTGCTTATGGGTGTTAAGTGGGGATGCTTGCTGAAAATCGGTATGCTGTGGAAATCAGTATATTAGAGGAATGGCTCCATAAGGAAACCTTGTAAGGAAGTCAGTTCTTTTGGTGTGTGAATATTTTTCCCTAGCCCCTTTATCTGATCAAGTAGTTTAGCTTTTGTTACTTGATTTTTTTTTCTGAGTCCTATCTATAGTGAGAAGACCCAGTATAAAATTGGGGTCTGTCTTATTTTTCTCGTTCCTGGAACAAAATACCAGACACCCACAGTTAAAGGAGGAAAGGTTTATTTGGCTCACAGTTTGTAGAGGTTTCAGTCCATAGCTGGCTCCAAGGCAGGGTGGCGTGGCAGCGGGGCGTCGGAGGAAGAGAAACAGTCCATGGTGTGGCAGGCAGGAGGCCGCAGGCAACGAGCCACTGTACTAGCCCTCTTTCTGTCCCTTCACGTTTACCCCCCAAGAGCAGGTAGCACTCACGCCGGGGTGGGCACCCTTAACCCTACCCAGTACTATGTCAAGCCAAGCAGTGGACTAATTTAGTAATCACACACCCTTAGTCCCAGCATCACACACTCTGGGTCCAGCTACCCCTGAAAAAGCCACCCCTCTGACCTGTGAGCCTTTGTGGGGGACATCGAGACACAGGCCCTAACAGGGTCCTAGTCAGTTCATTTAGAACGACTAATGTGACTTCATTCGTCCTGGGCCTGGGAAGAATTACGGGAAGAATGTTCCTGGTGTGGGCTGCCTACCTAGAATACCGTAATGGGTTGGTAGAATTCAGTCTCAGAATCTGTTACAAATCTCGTATGTATCTTTAAAAGTTCCTTACCTTGCTGTCATGAAATCCTGTTACTTTCACAAAGAAAAGATCCTGTGGAACATTCAGATTGGGGACATTTTGAATTTGATCAGTTTCTATTCAACTAACAGACGGTAAGGGTTAGGGTGTGTGCTCATTTGCTTGCTCTCTCCGGTTCTAATGAAAAATTAAATGTAAACTGTCCTATGAATTATGTCTTTTTCAAGGCTTTGGCTCAGATTTGTACTTTGATATATCAAATGAAAGTGAATATCAAACTTGTTTATACAGAAATGAGGCTAGAAAAATAAGTCTGTGTTGTGTATAGTGATATATATTTTATGTTTACCCAATGCCTGTGCTAAACTTTGTGCTTGGCTTTGAATTATATGTATGTTTACACCTGACATTTTTCAAAATAAAAAGAAAAACTTAAGGTTATGGAGAGGAGTTTTTTTTTAATGCTTATCATTTGATGAGGTGGTGTGTTTTAAGCTTTTAGTATTTAAATAAAAAGTTCAGCAGTAACACATTTTGCTTGAAACACCGCCCGTTCCAGAAGAAGCGCTTGCTTCTCTCCCTGTGTGTCCGTAGCCAGTGCTCATCATCAGGATGTAAGCACCTCGGGTGGGAATGGCTTTGACCCTAGTCCTGAGGCACCTGACGGGCAGTGCCTGGCGCAGGGCGGGTGCCAGTGACGTGCAGCGTGCGTGACGATGCCCACTCCGCTGCCCGCACACTCAGCACCACAAAGCACCCATGTGGGAGGAGGCCCGGCTCTGCCTTTGGTCTGCCTGGCCTCCTGGGGTTGAACCAGACGATGCCACAGCCCTAGTACTCTTTAACCTTCTTTTCCTGAGGATAAATACATCAGTCCTGAGCCTGCATGTACGGGGTGTGGGCGGGGGTGTGGGTGTTACAGGTAATGAACAGCTCTAAGCTCTTATCCAGTATTATTGCTGAGGCTTCCGGGAAGACTTGAAGTGGGGAAGATTATAGAGAGAAGGAAATGGAAATTTGGGGAAGACCTGTCAGTATTCAGCCCCGTGCGTGAATCTTTTTAGTTACTACCGAAGTAAGAGAGGAGCAGGTCCTGTTTACCTGAAAGCTGGTTGCCGGTGAGCCGGCTGATGAAAGGCTGTTGGCGTTCAGCTTTTCCTCATTGTGGTTTTTCACTGGGTCCGCCTCATTTGTTCATGTGGCTCTAGTACTTACAGTCTAGTGTTTGAGTATGTAGTGCTGTGCAAAATTGCACTTTGATAATGTGAAGTGACCTCGAATACGTGGTGTTTTGTATGCAGACACGTTAGCATTGTTATTTTTGACCACATT